GCAACAGAATTTTTCTTCTTTCAAACGCAGACTATGCAATGTGTTCGGGGATGGGGAAATAGCAAGGCTCTGCCCTCTGGTCATTTCCCAAGAGCCCAAAATACTGGAGGCATAATTGCAATTAACTGCTAATGCCGCCAGCTCAGCAGCAACCAAGCCCCTCCTGTGGCTCCTCAGTGAATTCACTGTGGTGGTTTGAGGAACTGGGTGAACAGACAAGACCCAGTAACTGAGTCCTGCCAATACACTTCTCCCTCATTTAAATATCCTCCTTGAGACCTGGGGGAACAAGGCATCATTAGCATGGACCGAGAAGCATCTGCGTGTGACATTAGCTAGAACACCTGCACATGCAAGCAAGAAGGAAAACACCTTTTCCCCTGGAGCTAATCCCTGCAAGGGCACCTACTTTCCCAGCAAACCTTTACACCAGCAGAAATCCAGTTCCCATTCAGTTGCTCACAGTTCAGCAATCCAGACAGATGGTCTCTAACTTGTAACTGTAATCTTCGAACACACAGAACCCCAACTGCAGTAGTTTAATCATGTCTAAAGCAGCAAGGCTAGCAAGCAATCCGCTCAGCCCCTCTTCCACATAGCACAGAATCCTTCTCCTCAACAGCAATTTGCGGAGCAGCCTCCATTCTTTTGGGAGTGACTTACAGCTTCACAGAAACATAAGGCAGAAAACGAAAAGTGTGAAAAATAACCATGGATTTCCTCTCCGCTGCCGAGTCACCTTCCCTGCCAGCCTACTTCAGTCATGCAGACAGAGGAGGGCTCCCTCCCACCACGTCTGGTAGAAGCATTTTCCCAATACTCGTTCTGTACCTCTCCTTCCAAACGGAAGTGGCAATACTGCACACCAGCCTCTTGTGCTCAGTCACATCACAGCAGGGCAAAGCAGCTCCAAACCAGCATGGCAAGTGAAAGCTTTGGGCTACCAGAGCTGTGGTGGGCAAAGGCAGCAGGCAGAGCAACAGCCATGCGCCCCAGGAACCAAGCCATCTACTGCAACTGCTGGCGAAGCGAACAGCGGAGAAAAAAGAAGGAAGAGCTTCTCCACATGAACAGCAGAAGCGAGAAAGAACCTCTCTGCTACTGTTGTAGCAAACATTTGTACCTTCAGGGCACTTTCTTTTCCATTCAGGGGCAGAATGGAGGCAGGGTACTCTGCATGACCTTCTCATGCAAGACCCACAAGGTGTGATTTCTGCAGCTCCAGAAAGATCAAGTGGGAAAGAAAACATGTCAAGTCAAAGGAAGCAGGAGAGAGGCATAGTCTTACCTCCTGTCTAACCTTGGTTTTGTTTTGGGGGGGGGGGGAGGTGTTTGATTGTTGTTTTTTTTTAAATTAGAGACCTTCTGCCAACAAGGTTTGGAGAACTTTCTATCTGAGAGCAAAGGACTGTTCTGGCTACCACCAAGAACCAACACACACTGCTGCTTGTGAAGTGAGGAAGGACATCAGGAAGGGACCTATCTCCCATGGGCTTGTGGCACCTGGCTGCCACAGTGACACACGGCCATCTGGACCAGCGCAACTGAAGCAGGGACGCAGCTCAGCAAGGCTCAGCAGGACAGAGTGCAGCAGGGCCTACCCTCAGCACGGTCACGAGGCAAGAGCTGTCAGGGAGGAAAGCCATTCACCTTAATGCCTGGTGACTGAAGAACACAGCATCAATATTTAAAGCAATCCAAACCCCTTGACAGAAAGGAACACATTTGTGCCAAGTTTATTGTCCAAGCAGGTGAAAGCAGTATGCTTCAATGATGGGTTTAGTCATTTTGTTGGTCTGAGAGTAATTCCAGATCCTTTGGTTAAAAAGTGCTACAGAATTTAAAAATTTATATTAATCTGATCCTTCCAAAATAATTTTATTTTCTTTCTTTTGATCTAGTGATCTAGCATCAAAGACTTTCAGGATACGTGTATCATTAACTATGCCAGTCAGCAGAGCAGTGAACCTCCAAACCAACTATTTACAGTATATGTAGGGAAAAGCATGCATTAAATATTTCTAAATCAGATCTTGAAAGATTATGGGAGAAACAGGGGGTTCCTGCTAATAAGCAGGACTTCCAGGAAGTTTTATACACAGAGTAGTTCTAGGGAAGGCTTTAGACATCAGGCAAGCGACATTATCTGCGTTGAAGGGGTCCATTAAATGCTCCAACCCAAATATTCTAGATAGATACAGTCCCTACCAAAATAAGACACAACACAAGGCACGAGCCATCACCACAGTCCAAGATCCACCAGGCCTAGAAAACTACATAAAGACTAACATGTGAGGCTCAACTGCCCACAGTGCAGACGGACCACTTGTTGGTCATCACTAAGAGAAGAACATCAAAAAATAGGAGATTACAGCTCCTCTGGAACAATTTATCTCCCCCTGACTCTGCCCTTGCAGACTCCTGGTGCATGTGCACAAAGCTGCTTTTAGCAGAAAGTTGGAGCTCACAGCCTTAAGGAGAAGATTAGCTGTGCAAGTCAAATGAAGAGCGTATGCTCTTTTTCAAGTTTCCTTTTAATCTTCTGATGCTAGATAAAAGAAAAAGCTCCATCTCAGGTATGCAACTCTTCCCAAAATGAGCACTGAACAGCACAGATTTAAAACAGACAGGCTCAACAATAAAGACAATATCCACATGCAGCTTAAGTGTGTCATCCACAAACACTGAATCTGTCAGCAAGAAAGAGAAGATGATCTCACGGCGAAGGACTCCTCTCAGCCTTACCTGTGTTCAACCCCTGCCAAACTTCAGCACCCAATTCAAAGGAACAGGATGCACTCCAACTTCTTGCAAGAATCTGGACCCTACTGCAGGTCCTTGGACACACAAGTATCTGAATGAGGCTCTTTCAAATACCTCATTCTTAGCTCTTCTATTTGCTACAGAACGATAACTCTCTCAAATACGATCACAGCGTGACACAACCACCCTAACGGATCACCCGGCACTCACCCAAGCAAACAACATTCTGCACAAGGACACCCCTTCGTGACTGAAGCCTTAATTCCAAATCACAATCCAGTCTGTAATGCTGGTTAGTCAGCTGCTCTTCACAAAGACATTTATACCTATAATAATTCTATTCAAGTCAAATGAGATTCTAAGTTTCCTCCAAAATAACCAAAAGCAGAATACAGGACGTCTAAACAAGCATTGTCTAGAGGTGGAGGGAACATCATTCTCACACCACTGATCTGGGAAGGGCAGAGGAAACAGCAAAGATAAGAGAAAAGCAAAAAAACCAACCTGATTGAAAGCAGCATTATCTGTCTATCATCAAGCTACATTATTTTACAGAACACAGCCAGCAAAGACCATGATCTCTACCCTATGTTATTTTTAGAGGCAGAAGGGGCTCTTTAGGTCAATTAATCTGACATCCTACGAAATGAAATCCCAGCCAGTTCCTCCTGCACTGAAACCAATTATTTTCTGTGAATAAAGCACTTCTTCCACAACAGTGTTAGGGCTCAATCTAATTTAAGATCTTCAAATTGAATAAATTAAGAAGATCAGAACTAAGAATTCTGATGAACAATTTATTTTGTTAGACATAAGAATTGCATACATCACAGTAAAATGCAGAAAGACATAAGTATTTCTCTCATCTGCCAGAAAAGGACCCTCCCACCCCAAGATTCGCATGCAATAGTTTTGAAGATTCTGAAATGGACAGGCACCTACATACTTTCTAGTAAAGATGCTGATCTCTAGTGAGCAAACGTAAGCCCGCAGGCAGCCACCTCACTTCCTTCAAGTTATCTTTTATAGCTCCCTAAACGATAATCCAAGTTCCACATGGCCCAGAGATCACAGGTGGGAAACTGGTGCACTCCAGACTGCAGCCAACCAGAGAGGGCTTGGGTTGCTCTCACACCTATTCCTATGGCAGCACACACACACACAAAAAAAAAAAAAGGCAAAAATAAACCCACAAACAGTAATAGCCCAAGAAATTTTTTTTCCATCTTCTATTTTTCAAAAGCTTTATACAAAACAGCTTCTTTCAAAGATGCCAGATTCACACAATGCCACAGTAACTGACATGGAAGCCAAAATTTCTGATACAAATTCACATTTAATTAACCATAGAAGACTACCAATGTGTTTTTACTTTAAACCCACCAAAACTATCACAAGGAAATGCAGATTCAAAAGCTTCAGACAGGGGCAAAGGAAAAATCATAAATTTTAATCGTATACTCTGACTTCTGTAACAAAAGAGTAAACAAGCTCAGCCACCTCCCAATTACCTATTATTAAAGGTTAGCCTCAAAGGAATGTCTCCCAGAAAAAAATTTCTGTAAGAAATAAAATATCGATGTAAATTAATCCTTATTAATATGCACACAAGTAACACAGGCATAGACATTACTACAAGCACTTGAAGACTTAAAACTAAAAAAAGACAATCTTTTCCCCACATTAGCTGTGGTGTTCATCCAAAATTATGTCCCACCTCTGGAGAGCCCACACATGGGCATGCTTTAAGCAGCACACTGCGTCAATTTGAGTTTGTCTGACTTTAATAGCAGCAGGATCTGGCTAGTAATTAAGTACCAGATTTCCCATTGTCCCAACCCTACCACACCTTTCCTGATTTAAAAAAATGCAGCTTTTAGAGCATTTTTGTTTTAGCTGCTGCTCAGCCAGCTTTGGCTGCAGAGCCATTTTCTGGCATATATTCACTTATCAGAACTGCTGCTCTCACTTATCACAAGTGCCTTTCTGATCTCCGGAAAGCAGCCCCCAATAACACATTTCATTTTCATCCTCTCAGCTTGGAGATGCCAGTCACCTACCACTGCTGATAGCCGTGAAGTAAACAGAAGATAAACAGGCTCAAGTCATCTCCTTGACATCCAGAAGCTTTTCCTGGCTCACCTCCCACCCTGATGAACACCATCTCATCAAAGCCCTGCCCTCGGCCTCTTCTCTTTGCCTGGGCTTACCTCACAGCCCAATTAAAAAAGGCACACCAGAACCTGTCCTCCTACTCTGTTCCTCTCAGACTGCCACATGACAGTCACCACTGGACGTCTCCCCACAAGGAACAGAGAGTCTATCCCACCCCCATCCTTCCCCACAACCCCATCTTCCCTCAGACCAGCAGCTCCCCTCTCCTCCAAGCTCCTGCACACTGGTTCAGATTCCCCAGAGGGCTTTATCCAGGCCTTCTGAACTGCCAACACTACTCCATCTGCACAACATCTAGTTCTCTGAGACACGGCCACTCACACAGCTCCCGACGCTGTCTCAGTGTCTCATACATCCAAAGCACGGCCTTTGCTCAGCAGTGTCTGAGGACTGCAGCTGCACCAGATGAGCCCCTTGGGCCAGGAGCATGAAAACAGCAGGACCACCCCAGCCACCCCCCTTTGAGCCTACTCCAACAGAATTCTATGATGGATCAACGGTCTTGGAATCATCCTAAAACACACTCCTGCAAAACAATTGTGATAGATTTGGATTCTGCTTAAAAACAGACAGCACATAACACATGCAAGTCTGGAGTACCCACACAGAGTATCTAGTATGTATTCCAGCAATTTACCCTGGCTCTCCTCTCAACCAAACTTCCCTTCATCTCATTTTCCTCCTTTATGTTAGCTAAAAGGACTGGGAAACCCATGAGACCCACATGGCCTACATGACTTCACTACTACATCATGAGAAACCTGCTTTCCATAGACAAAGGAGTCAGCCAGCCACCCTCACATCACCTTTCACATATGTGACTTAGCTTTGTAACAGAGCTACCACCTAGTCAAGTAACCAACTCTTGTTCTTATGTTTGTCCAGCTACAACCCACTCTTCTGCTACAGTTCCCATGCACTACTTCTGCCTGAAAACAGCCACCAGAAAACCCTGCAAGATGCCGGTAAGATAGCAATCGATTACCATCAGCCCCAGATACCTCAGTGATAGCACAGCCAGGGGTAAACAGCTGACAAAAGACCACGTTAGTGCCTAACACCCAATTAAGACCCCTCCCTTCCTAGAAGCTCCAAGGATATTTTTCAAGCTTATTAGGTCTCTAACCTTGCAGTATTTCATGCAGACCTGAAATCCAGCTAAAAGTTCTCCCAGTAGCTCATCTTTCTTCTGTTACATATCCTTTCCCAAATATTCCAGCTCTGCTCCATTTATATCACTACTACTGCAGAGGGAATTGCCTTACCCTGGTACCTTAGCTAGGATGATCCTTCTTCACATCCCCATCCCTCTCCAGCAGTTCTGCCCATCGACGTTTTTATCTCTCAACCTTCAAAGCACTGTCATTTGGCCTGAGATGTCAGCTCCTACCTTCTCATTCATCTGTAGCGCCTGTTCCCACCACACCACTTCTAGGTGCAAGTTTTCAAACAAGAATCACTGCACTTTTCTCTGCACATGCCCTCCTGCTTCGGAAAAGCTTCTCATTAATCGTAAACTAGATTACCAGAACAGGAAATTCCAGAAGGAAACAGATGACATTGCATGGAGGGAATGGGACCCAAGCAACATGAACAACAAACCAGAGCTCTATAAAGGCAACAAGAAAGCTCAGATCTTGACAAGGACTGGAGCTGGTGAAGTCTTTCACAAGCAGACTTATTCACATAACTTATTCACAGTCCAGCAACACTATACAGATAACTTTCCAAAGACCTAAAGAGACAGAAGGTAGAAGAGGCACACAGTAGACTACCAGGAAAGCCACCTGCACAGGCCTGGAAGAAAATCTTTAGCCAGACAGACAAAAGAAAAACAAATATTCCAATCTGTAAGAGCAGGTACCTCCCAAAGCCTGCGTGCAGTTTCAGCTTTCCATACAGCATCCAGTCATTGCGAGAGAAATTCCTTTTGGAGGTCAAGCAGATCAGCCATGCACACAGCAGCAGCCCGTCAATGGCACCCTTCATTCCTCGGGATACAACACTGCAGTGCTCCTCTGAATGTCTCAGTTAAACAAGGTACACAACTATCCTCTCTGGGGTCTTAATTTGAAAAGCTAGGAGTGTACCCCAGCGTCTGCCCAAGGATCATTGTGTCTGCAGCACTCTAACTAAACACATGAGAACACACACAACTACACTGCCTACTGAGGAGCATTGGTTTAACTGAGTTGGTGCAACCGGACCAACTCCATCTGCTATGAGCGAACAGGATTCTCTGCAAAACTCAGGTACACTTTTTTAATTCTAATGTGAAAGCTACAGTTGCTTATATTTATAAAGCTATTACAGAAATTGGGTTCTTAACTGGTCTGGCTCCATCATTCAGCTTTGGTGATTGGCATACATCAGTGAAAGCCTGTAACACTCAGCTTTAAACAGCACTGAACAAGTGGCAAGCCCTTTATTTAAGCTCCCAATAGTGAGACATTAAGGCCTCCTAAGCTGTTAAAAGCAGACATTTGTTCGCATCACTGCATAGGCAGTGACGCCTCCATTTGTGGTAAGACTTCCAACTAGATCCCACATGACTACGTCACTTGATATTAGTCAAACAGAGAGTCATGACAATACAAGGCGCAAATACTGCCTTTAATGGAATATAGGTCTAACAGACACACAAAGAACTAAGACCATTAGCAGAAAGAGCTGATTTCTAGTGTACAATTCACAATAAATGCAGGTATTACTCCAACAGTATAACTTCAAAATACACTAAGTAGAAGCATCGTTAGCTTTTCCACTTGCTATTCTCAGCTTCTCAATCACCTGTTGACTGGCACAACCACTCTTGCCCTGGCAAGGTGGTAACACCACAGTTAACCTCACAGCGCTTCCATGTCCCAACAGAGATGCTGCCAGCCCTGTCCCCTGTGCGCACGTACCGCCCGTGTGAGTGGAGCCAGCCACAAGAAGCATATGCCAGGATGGGGCTTTACCACCCGATTTTTTATTGCTTCCACAAACTTCTCTCCAGAAAGCTACTTTTGGAGATGACAAAGCATTAGCAGGCATGAAAATTTTCTCTCTCACACTTTAATGCAGGGCCCAATCCTACACATTCTTTCCTCTGGCTAAACTCCCAGCCGTGCTATAAAAAAAAAAATATCTTGCTTTCCATGCTCTGATAACTGGGACTCTTTGCTCTGAGTCTTGAATACTCAAATGTTGCTTTGTTTTAAAGTTTCATATTTGGCACAAAAGCAATACCAAATGAGGAACATAGCAGGTTTTGTCTAGTTTAAAAAAAAAAAAAGAGATCTGATCTAGGAAGAAAGTAATGAACAACACGTGGGAGGTGATATTCACTTGGAGAAAATCAGAGACTACATGTCTCCACCGTGTTCCACACCTTCCCTCCTGCATTTAATGCTGCAGACGCATGGGATACAGACACATGAGGTAGCTTTACACAAATTCACACATATCACAGTCCGGCCATCGGAAACCTGAAGCTCTGAGCAAGCCAAGCAGCAGGACAAATCCGACTGCGCTGAGGTAACTAGATTGTCACTGTTACCTTGGGTGGCTCATCTCTCAGTAGGCTCACAGATCTTTTACGACAAACCCAAACTGCTATGCTGTCATCAGTGGCATCCCAAAATATGGGAGCTGATTCACATAGGCCTTCTGACACTGTGACACTTACCACTTACGTGCTAATAAATTGTTAGAAAATAAATAAGCAATAAATTTTAAGGCCTTGACCGTAAACAATGATACGGTGGGTGGAACTAGATAAGCCCAAAGGCCCTTGAAACCCAAATTACTCTGTGTTCCTATGAGCTGATCCTACTACCACACAGGAGATCTTATCTTTCGGTCCAAAAATGTAAGTGCTGCAAAAGGAGGGCTGCCAGAGCCAAAACCACATTTCTGAAAGAAAAAGTATCACTGCATCAGACTGCCTGGTCTACTGGGCTGGTCCTCCAAAAGTTAACATAGGTGCACTTAGTGCTAAAAACACAATGGAAGGTTAAAAAAAAAGTATTTTTATTACTATATATCAAGTATTTTTCAGTCTTATTTTTAAGGAAAAGATTGTTAAATTGTTCATGTATCATTCATATATTCTTCCCTCTCGCCATAACTTCTGAATCATTTAACAAATTTTAGCAAATGTCAGCCTATCATGGTTGAGAAAATAGAGATCCCAAAGATATTATGCTCTTACAAATACAGCAACCAAGCAAAAGAGGTTCCATTAAAAGACAGACTTCAGCATGAGGAAAACCACAGCATTAGACACCAGCAAATCTATATAGCAAAAGCCAACGAGGCTTCATAAAACTCCTCTGCTTACAAAAATCACTTAATTAAAACTAGACAGAGGCAACTAGACCCCACTGCCAATGAGATGAAGTAGGTGATTTTTCATGCTGAAGTTCAAAGGGCAAGACAAGAATGGCTTTCCAGACGACTTCAAGGAACATCCCACAAAGATGCAGAAGAGTGTGCGTACTTTTGGCTGAGAAGCTAACAGGCTGGTGCTGGTGAGGGGACCCTAGGGGCTGATGAGTATTTCTTTCAGCATTAAGAGGACAACAGAACTCCACTGAGCCATTTAGAGACTAGCAAAAATTTAAGATGCCCATAAACCCACCACTGCAACTAACCTCCAGTTCAGGCAACAATCCTCAGGCAGGAGTCACCACACCAGGGAAAATGAGGATTCTCTTCCCTACTCACCCTACTACCTGCTAAACACGAGGGGAGCTGGATCACACAGGCGTATGAGCGACCGCTAATTCTCATCCAGAGGTCACAGGCACAAGATCCCCAGGCACAGCATGAACAGCCTCTGTAAGTCACTCTGGGATTTCCAAGGACCAAAACCAGCACACTTCTTAAAATATTTGCATTTATTCAAAGTGTTAGAGCAGTTTCAGGCACAGTATCATATCTGTTCTACCATACAGACAAGGGACTATCACTGTGCACAACCCTCTTATTCTATATTGTATATAGACTATTCAAAATCATCCCAAGATGTCTTGTCCTTATCTATTTCTCCCCACGATTTTTCCAATGTTCTCACTGCAGGCAACTTTCATCTCACATCCTGCCTAAATTTACTCACAGCCAGTTTATACCCGTTTGTTCTTGTGCTAACCTTGACCTTTAGATCTAATAGTTCTTTCCCCTCCCTGATGTTCACCCCTCTGATGTATTTATAGACAGCAGTCATATCCCCTCTCAGCCTTCATACTGTAAACTAAACAAGCCAAGCTTCTAGTCTCCTCTGGTTAGGCAGGCTCTCCACTCCCCTAAACACCACAGTAGCCCTTCCCTGCACCTGTTCCAGCTTGAATTCCTTCCTCGCAGACGGGCAACTAGGACTGTACTACACATGCCACAGAAGGGCCCAACAAGGCACTGTACAATAGCATTAGTGCGCCCTTATCCCCACAGAAATAAATCCCCAATAATCTGCCTTTTCCACCGATGCATCAGCTGTGACCCTCAGCCTACAGTCAAGTAATACACCCAAGGTTTCCCAAGAGCTAGCGAACTGTGTGAGACCTCTGAATAAACCCTAGTGACAAGCACTGCAGTGCTGCAACTGAAACACTACACCAGCATTAAAGGAATAGCTTTATCCTCTCAACTTAGTAACCACAATGGTTCGGTCTGTTGTGTGTTGACCAGACTCTCAGGCCCAGATGAAAGCCTGTTTGGCCTTGCCAATGCTGAGGCAGCCATGCTGCCACACACCCAAGAGAAAACAAACAAAAAAGCAGCCATAAACAACACTCTTGCCCCGAGCCAGAGTCAGCACTAAAATCCTATGGGAATCCACTATAAATTTGCTCAGAAAGCAAAATTAGGGGCTCGGATCTCTATAAAACAGAAGGATATGCAAGAGACATTTACTCTGTATCCCATTTTCCTACTCACCTCTCACCATCCACTACCGGCCCCCAAGAGACAGGGTACCAAGTTACACAGACCCTGCATGTGCCACTGTGGAAACAAACTTCTGTCCTATTTATTTCAACATTGGGTCTCCATTCTTCACACTCCCCTGGGATCCTGTAGGTTCTCATCATTTATATTTGATTTCATAATACTTCAGTAAACAAATGAAAGATATTGTTGTTTGGTATGCTGAGGCTCACAAAATTTGTTTTATGCAACCAGTAGCACATCCACATTGTATATAAAACAACCAGAAAGTGTTACTACTCCACTACAGTTCTTCCCACCCCAGCTGGAAAAAGACAACCCTTCCTGTTACAGCCAGTCATCATTATCTTTTCAGTATTAGGAAAAAGTCACTGTAAACGGTGACTTCCTACAGCAGCTAATTTTTTCCTGTCCTGAAAAAGAAGGATTGAAGCTAGCATTAAATTCGATCTAGCCCAGCTGCTGGAGATCGGTTCTGCATTGCACCCTCCATGGCGCTCCCCACACTGCTGATACCAAACAGGTAAAAGCTGCACCATAATCCGCTCAAATTACCACACAGAGCAGTAAGTGTTGGAAAGGCAGGCCCAGCTACTAGAGCCACAGAAAAAACAACTGATCAGCTGGACTGGGAATTATCATCAATGCCTACAGGAAAGTGGATATCCTGGAGCCAAAACTCTGCTCTTCCGTAAGCTTAAGACAGGAAAACCCACCTATTAGGAGCATGCATCACAGGAACCTACAAAATCAAGGACAGGGCACACTCTGCAAATGCAGTTCAAGCCTGATGAGTCTCCAGCCCTTCCTAAAACAGCTCTTCTCTCCACATAAGAGGAGTCATCAGGAGCAGTTTTTGACAAGACACCTTTTGCAATATGGGCCTTTGCAAGGAACAGGCTCTACTCACAAGTCCAGATCTCAAGCCCCCTCTTCCTGCATAGCCCATTTCTCACATATTTTGGGCATCAAAACTAACTTAGGTCTTTTTAATTAGCAATTACAGCTTCCTGGTAAAGAGTTTTTCGGGGATGAAACTGCTAAATGCACGTATACATTACTGATCCTCATGTACCCCTCAGCATCCCAAAACTCACCAGCTTGGAAACCCTTTACAAGTCTCTTTCTTCCCGAGATGGTGAAGTCCTTTTTCTCTTGTGCATTAAATACTCAAAACACACATACCAAATTATCGTATCAACCCATAACCATGCATGGTAATTATTCCTTAAATCGGGATTTCTTCCACTGAATTTCAACCAAAATAAACACGGTATAGAGAACTAATGTATGCTCCTAGTGAACAACCATTCATCAGCTTAAGTAACTCTAATGGATGCCACTTTAAACTAAGCCTGCACCATCTGTTCTACCCCTCAATTAGCAAAGCCAAAAAAAATTATTCAATACACAGTTTAAGAAAGCCAGCTGATTTATGTATGTAAGTTCTATTTCTCTTCAGCTTAGTGAAGCATGGTCTTGTAATGCTTGATATTCAGACTCAGGTCAGAATGGAAGGCTGCTTTCTCTAACACTATTAGGAGTTCTGTCAGGGGGAATAAAATTCCCCTGCAATATTTCACCATATAAAAAGATCTCTCTAACATCCCACCATACATTTTATTTTAAAGAGTTCGATGCCTTTAAGTGACAAAATCAACCAGGAGCTGCACAAGTAAAATCTGCAGTCCTGCACACATGAACACAAACAAAGCTCAGGACACAGCCCTGACAGACTGGGTTGCCTTCACGAGCAGAGATGTCCTCAGCTACTGGGGTCTGTTAACCATGTCAGTTCCCTACTCCCCTCTCACAGGCAAAGCCCAGCCCTGCGAGGTGCTGGGCAGAGCCTCACACAGATCAAGCTGCACTGGGACAAAGAGCTCATCCCACGCAAGGGTGGGAGACACTCTCCTTGGCAAGCACAGCCTGTGCAGTCAGAAAAGTGCAGCGCCAAAAAAAATCACTACTCGCCAAAGTGCAGGAAAAAAACAGAAAGTTTCATCCAGTTCCTTGCTGTAAACCCCCATCCAGTTTCACTTCAAACTGGTCTCTCCTACCACTCTGCAATACGAAAAAACATTGAGCAGAACCCCTCTTCAATTTGATGGACCCCAATCTCCTTGAAGGCTTTCTCACCACCAAATCTCTAAGCTGAGTTCTCTCTTGAGTGTTCCTAGTCAGTAACAACAAACCAGCAATACCAAGGGCACTTCCAATGTAAACCTCAACTCCAACAGCACAGACCACACATCACAGAGAAGAGGAAGGTGCAAAAGACCTTGTTCCCATTGCTAGATGGAGGCAACAGTACAATACTCTCCTGCTGTGGAGAAGCAGGCAAGAGAAGGTCACTGTCAAACAGCCTCAGCTCACCTCTAGTAATATCAGGCTGGCAGAAAACTACTTTAAGATCCTAGACATACTCCTTTAGGCTACACCTCAAAATGAAACATCAATGGCACACCATAGTCTGGGTACTGAGAAAGGCGCATCAGCTACAGACGAGTCAGGAGATTGTGCGTACTCAACAGCAGCATTACTAAATACTGCCACAAGCAGCTCAAAGTGAGATTGTTTTCCGAGGAATTACTTATGGTTTCAGCTCTCTCCCTCTGTTACAGGACCATGAAGCTGAGAGGACATGCTGAACCCCTGACACTGCTGCATTGTTTTGCTACACATCTCAAGGCAGATAGCTCTGTGCAGGCCTCAGTTATTGTTCACGGATTCAAAGCTCTGCAAAATAACTCATTCGCTTAGCAGGGGAAGGAATGGAGTCCAGTAGAACCACCATCCTGAAACGGCACAGACCAAGCAAACAAAGCATGTGAAGAAACACAGCAGAGACAGGATTCCTCTTTGGTCTGCAGCATCCTACAGTACCTTCCCCCGCCCAAGCTTGCTAACATGCCCCACAACTCCTAGTGCCCACGTAAACACAGGCTGTCTGCTCTGAGTAACTGAGCTCCAGAGAAGAGCAAGAGCTCCCGAAGAGAAATCCTCTTTTCCACTCTGCAGCATTCTTCTGTCTTCCACCTACCCATAAGCACCGCTGGGAAAACGCAGGCCAGGCAGTGCCTGTTGGGTGCAGTTCAAGCACGCTCCTGGCAAGCGCAGACACACAAATGGCCTTGCACTGGACCTCAGTGCCTTGCTCCATGTAACAACCCCCCTGCTTCCTTGACTTGAAAGGCATCCTGAACTATCCCGTGCCTTCCGCACCCAAGGCAGCTGCCTGTTATGAAGCAGGGATCAGCGGCCAGGTCACAAGGCCATTTGTCAGAAGGGTTTCAGAGTGCTGAGTGCTATCAGAAGCGTGTTAGCTCTCGCTCTGTTTCACACATGGTGCTTTTACAGACTTGGACAGCACCAAGGAAAGAGAAGCACCTCTTCACCCTCCATCATTGCTTTTTTGCTACACCACTTGAAAGAGATGATTGTATTGTCTCCAATCCCAATGCTGAGGTCAAGGACTTCACAAAATAGTATCAGGTTAAAATAGAAACAACATACTAAAGCCACCTAAGCCTAAAAATGTCAGTGATAGTCGTGCTTTACATCGCTCAAACTTGTAGGCCAACGAGGGTGACAGCTCGAGCCCACCCTGTAAAGGCATAGTAATTTCACCATCAATTGAGGCTCCTTTTGATCCGAACTGAACTGGACTGCCTCAGAAAGTCACTTCGATTCGCTGATGTTTCCCCTGTGATAACATATAAGCACAAGTGTTTAGTTAGAAGAGGCCTAGACAAGCAGGAGCCATGAATCAACTGGATGTTCTCCCAAGATAACGGGTCTGTTATCCAAACCCAGTCTAAGTCTGAGAGCACACGTTATCACTGAAGTGTTAGGAAATTTCAGATCATGCAGATCATCTCAATCTTTGTTTTAAGCTGATGCTTTTTCAAATGAAGGGAGGTGAGCAGAGAAACAGACTGCAAATATAATGGCTTTTTCAACCGTGACCAAACTGCAGTTTAGCTCTCCAGATGGCTATTCCAGGGCAGCGATGCTTGGCCTTTCGCTCTCAGGGTTGTTAGCATTAATCCATGAACTGGATCAGATGACACCAGCTACCCTGTCCTCCCTCACACCAGCCAGAGGCGAGCTTCCAAACCCCCACCCCGCCGGCAGTCAAGGAGAAAGGCAACAATAACGCAGACGCAGGCACTAAAACAGAAGGAAAAGACTGGCATACAATGATGCACTAAGCCTTGGCTGGACACTGAAGCAGACCTCACTACGTCACTAACGGCCAGGTAGCCAGCTTGCCCCACTCAAAGGTTTCACATCCTCTATTATACTCATTCACTGAGAAAACACCCTCCAGACATCCAAGACACGGCTCTGTTATGCTTACTAAAACTTATTAATGCTATCTTTAGAACACGCACATTAACGAACAGTCAGCTCAGCAGCGTGAGTTCTGGAACAGAGTCACTGCAGTACAGAAGCACCACCAGTTTTCCACTGGAGAATGAATACCACAGTGAGCACAGTGGTTCAGCAGACGAAAGACTGGGAAGGGCGGTGGAAGCGAGAGAGAACAAATTATCCTTGAAAAAGTTCTGCAAATGAAGTGTGATGCTGGAATTTCAAAGTACTGCATAGCTCTGTGATCCACATCACTTTGTAAAATCCAGGAAAACAGCACGTTTTGTAATAATTTCAAGTTCACTGTGCGTGGGTTACGTTTCCACTGAGAATCATGAAAGTCTAAGAGAAAGCCAGTTAGCAAGAAAAGGGGGAATAAGAACATGCAATGTCCTCAGAAAATTACACGTACACCACTTTTAATAACAAACTACGATTTCTTCATGTGCTCAGCCACAGTGGATCCACTACTGAGACTGTATTGGCTTTGGTGGTTTGTTGGTTTGGTTTTTTTTTTTGGTTCCTACATGCTAAACGGCTTCTACCACAGCTGCTTGTTGACAAAAATGAAGATAAAAAGTGCTGCTGTGCAGAACACATTGACTAATACACTGCAATCTCACAACCACTTCTCAGTCAAGATTTCTGTTAAAAGTAAATGACTGAGTATGTTCAGGTCCGGAGCACTTCCAACCGACATGGCTAGTCTCCTTCACTTCTACAGGAAAGAACTCCAGTACAACTGTCAGCTAACTAGCTTCAGGCTCACCCCGGTAGGAACTTTAACTCTTAGATTTTTCTGGACTTGTCAGAAAGGAATAAAGTGTCCTATTGCATCCCATACAACAGCTTAAGTACTCTATTAGCCTTGTCAGAGCACCTCAGGAAGGGAGCAGGACAGGAGTTTTCCAAGCCACAGCAGAGAACCCCTCCCCAGTCGCACAGCACATGGGAGTGGTGGGACTTCCTCACTACGGCCTGTAAGGAGATGAACAGGTAACAAGGCAGTGGACTTCCATGTCCTACCAACTTACTCCTGTGGATGCAACACTTGAGTTCAACAGAACATACAGATACACACAACCTTCCCTGAGCTAACCGCACTAGATCAATTATACTTAAACTGCCCACAGAAAATCGGAGAAGTCTAGCAAGATTTAATGACAGTGAAAAATACTGATGTTTATATATGCTTTTTGCAGTTTTATAAACCTTTTTAATGTGGCAGGAAATCATCAACATTCCTAATTACTGGGATGATCAAAGCATGCCACTAGCTAACAGGGTACACAAAGAAACCAGCATATAACAAAGCACAAACACCAAATGTAAATTCGTTTACTAAAACCCCCTTTACTGAATTCTTACTGCCTTGAGTCCTCAATATCATATCGGCTATCAACTACCACGAAATGGGACAGGAATGGCTGATTCAGAATAATTATCAGCTTATAGAACAGTGCATTAGAAAGTCAGCTACACAACTCTCACTTTGATCAAGTAGCACTTGACACTGAAACTTCTGTCTGTAATCACAAGCCATCTGACAAGTCTTACCTTATAATTGCTGGAATTTACCCAAGAAGTGGCCAGTCCGTCAACCATTTTATCCAGCATAGTCTGATCATGTTCAAGATCAGATGACTTCTGTTTATCCGAGAAGTAATCAATCAATTCCTGGCCAACCTGAAGTCTCTTTCCAACATCCTTCTGCAGCACCTGCGCTAAGCAGTACTCCATACTGGGCTCCATAGTGCCTTAGAAATACAGCACCAGCAAGAAAGCTAGAGGGCAGCAGGTCTGAAAAATCCCTCTATAAACGCACGCAGGAGGTCGCCTCTTTGTTCGATGAAGGTTACTGAGGGTCTGGGTTTCAAAGATGCAATTCTGAGAATGGCAACAATGCACCATGTGTGTGTGAACAGCAGCTGGCAGGATATTAAAAGTCCAATTTAAATAACTAGTAATAGATGAAGCAACGAGCCGTGCTGTTACTGTTGAGTCTGCAGTAATTCCCAGTTCAGCAGTCCATTCTGAAAGAAATGAAAAAGAACAGTATTACAGGTTAAATTAAGACTGGAGCAAAAACAGATCGAAAGCATGTCACAAAATAGGTTATTCATATACAGCTGCGAAGCTGTGATAAGCTGGATACGAGCGGCATTGTTCTATTTTAAGGAATCAGACAAGGTAGGTCAGGACAAAATCCTTTGGTTATTCTTTACAACAACAGGTACCCATCAGTTCCCTGGAAGTTTTAGTGACAGACAGTAAATCTGGGGCTTAAGTAAGAGCTGATTAGTAGTGAATATTATGGCAACTACCAACATCACCATCCACCCACCCACAACGGCAGAGACAAAATCCTTACGCAGGTCACCAAGAAAATGCATCTGCTTCAAGCAGTGAAAGCAGGAAGCGGTCTGGATCCTGTTTTGACTGTCGGCCTTCAGCAATCAAGGCTATCAGCGGGCTGGCAAGATACAGCACTAACCCTGGGCTCCAGGAATGTAAAACGAGCAGTTTTCAAAACCTAGGTGCTCATGCTGTTTCCAGGCTGAATCCTGTTGTATTCCAACCACACGTGCCCAGGGAACAGCGCTGGCCTAGTGCAACAGTGCAAACACAGCTCAACCAGCAGTGCCGGGGCCGTCCCGAGCACCAAGGCCACGCACAAGAAAGGCCAGGCCTAACTGCTGCTGCTCAGAGGTGCAGTGCCACCTGAGGAGCAAGCTTTTGGCTTATGTGTAATAACAGATGGCTGTACGTCTGGGGTTTGGGTATGTTCCTCAACACCAGAAACTCTCCTGTCCAAGAACTTCATTAGGGACCCAGCTACAGCTTTTGTTTTGTCCCTGCACCTGCAGCCAAACGAAACCCTCCAGCGAACAGACCCGCAGCCTGTCCTCCGTCCTCCCACAGGCCAAGGCTGCACCGTTTCCTGAAGCACTCCCTTGTCACAGGTCAGCTCTTCTAGGAGGGGGTGGTAAAAATCCAGAGTGTCTTTTTGTTTCCTGCCTATATAATACCTAAAGCTAGAAATCTGCCCTACTTTTTCGACAAGCATGAGGAAAGCAGGTCAAGCTCAGAGCAAGGGAAGCGGCTGTGGAGCAGACACCTGGTTCATTAAACAACTGGAAGGAAGCTGGAGGCAAAAGTCCACTAATTGGAAGCACTGGGGCAGCAAATCTAAATACCTTCTGTTTGAGCAAATAAGGCCTTCACAAAAGTCTTAATAAAACAAAGTGAATCTAACAGCAGACGAGATGCACACAAGAACTCCAGTCTGGAAATGAACACACAGTCCGCACAGCAGACTATTTTGGTTCATTATCTCACCTCCATCCTCCTTGGCCACATCTTACCAACACCACGCACAGCATCTAGATGCAGCACAGAGGCTTGTGGCGTTGAGCTTCCCTAACCCCACCAGCGCTGCCAGCCATGTCCCAGCTGCCAGCACCGCTTATTCACCAGGCAGGAGGAGTCACCAAAAAGCAGGTCCCTCCGCTCCAGGCAGCCAGTTCAAATCCCCGCTGGCTGACAGTGACCAAAACTGGTTCTGTACATCCAGGGACTCGCCTCAGCCAACTGCCTGGCAAATCCTACCATGAGCCAGAAGGGATTACTTGTGACTGTAGACTAAAATCCCTCCTTGCCAGCAAAACCTCACCCTTCAGAGAGACAAGGCAGCAATAGCTGCAGCTGCCCCCACAGCACCTAGGGCTTTAAGCTCACACTGTGACAGCTTGGTGCTTGTGACCACTACCACAACCCGAAGTGTCTAAAGAACATGCCAAACTCTCACCTGTTTGCTCCAAGTCACTTCAAAAGTGATATGACTTCAAGTTCTAAAATTGTCAACACCTCCTCAATCAACTCTTAGAGTAACACCTTTTTTCTTTCTAAGAGAAAGACATTGGTTCCAGACCACAGCAAAGCCATGCCTTTTCTTATTGGTGAAGCTACAGTTCCTCACTTGTTTTGGTTTAGCACCAACTCGGAAAGCAGTGCTCTGAGCTTTCCCATCCTCAACCAAAACGGTTCACAACATGGCTTTAAATACTCACGGCAGCACAGGCAAAAACCAGTGTCGCCTCAAGCGCAGCAGAAGTCTTCCTCTGAGTCTCCCTGTCTGTACCTCGAATACTGGTCCCTGCCCTGCCCTGTAGCATGGGCTGGCCTTGCTCCTTGCTGCAGGCACTCCAGTTATGTGAGACAGTATTGCACACAGGAGTCTCTAAGCGTCTAACAGAAGGGTTTAAACACGGTAGGGCCGCATTTCACTGGACACCTCGCTAGCAGAGAGCTACTGGAGAAGGGGCAAGTAAGAGATACTTTGCAGCTAGCATGTTCTAGCTGAAACTTTTCAAGTTGGCCGCGTGGTTTGCTTCTGGACTCCAGAAGCTGCACACATGGTCAGAAGGGGACTCTTCTGTTAAACTGGATAGAACATGGTGAAGAAAATCCCCTAACTGCTTTTAAAATGGAAATGTGGAACTTGCTTAAACTTGAAAAATCAGATCACAGGAGGGTGTGAATGACTGTTAGTTACCGCAGAATAGCCATTTTTTATTAACTTCACACACAGACAAGTCCTAACACACACAAGAAACCATTAGCTGGCCATACTGCCATGAGAAAGAAACATTCAAAGTTTCAAGTCTTTCTTCTATGTGGTTTTCATTTAAGCATTTGTAAGTCTCTGCCTACAAGCACAGAAACAATCTTTTAACCAAACTAATATAAACAAATTTCTCTCCAAGTTCCTCAATTTTTAAACACATGAAGGCAGGCACAGGATAAAAATTATGGTGCACTACAGAAGAACAGATTCATATTATAATCTTGAGGACTGCAGTCTAAATAAGATCCACTGTACATTACAGCACCACCACCAAACGCATACAGGGGAGAAGAGCCAGAAATACCTTTGAAGCCTGGGGAAAATAATAATATCAAGCCAAGAGGAAAGGCTCAAGCTAGCTTCCATCTACCAGTCAACAGGTGTTTAAGTTGCACTATTTTTAACTAAAGAAAAAAAAGCTTTTCCACGCATGTTAGGAAGTCTGTTGACTCCCCCTCTTCATCGCAGGAAGAAGTGGAAAAAATAATACCTGAGAAAAATTAAGATCCAAGCTGACAACAAATTAACCTCCCAGGCAATGAAGCATATGGCTGCTACATCCCATCAAGTTTGAAATGAACTGGGCAGACGCTCCCCACATAACAAGCTTTGGAAAACACAAAGCCACAGTCTCAGCCCCAGTGGTCCACTTCTGTTCCTGCAGAATTTAAATGCCATGGTTTTCAGGTAGCCAATGTAACAAGATACAAACAATTTAGGACTAGGATTTCGAGTACAACCTCTTTCCACAGAAGCACAGTCAGGCAGAAGTCAAAACTAACAACTCAGTGGCACAGCTCCTGTGTTTGGAGCTCCTTCAAGTTTTGAGAAGTGTTGCAAATACAGGCTCCAAAGCAAGCGTTTTCTCCGATCCTCCTACTAGGCTTGTGGTTTGCGCTCAGGGGGACAGGCTAAGCTAATAATGTCAAGCTAACATAATGCCAACGTGTAGACAAGACAATCCAAGAGAAAAAACTGTTCTCCCCACCACCCCAACTCTGCCACTGCAAAAATCAAGTCCTCTCTTTCACTAATAAGCCATCAACACTATGTGCTTAGTCAAAGCCTCTGCCAGTAACACCTAAATTTTCCATGAAGAGCTATCCAGCAGAAAGCCACTGGAGAGGTTTAAGTTTAATGCCAGCTTGGAGCTCAAAATGGTGAGTATAAAGAAGAAAGCTGACAAAAACTGAACAGCCCGAAGTTACTCAGCATGGATATTGCCATCATAGCACCATAAAAGCTGGTACAATTCACAGCAAAACAACTGGCTCAGCACATAGAATAAGTCAATCCAAATAGCAATAAGGAAATACTTGTTACCTAAGACATTGTGGCAACAATAAACTGTGTACGTAAGCCAATGACCTTTTTTCAGTGCTTAGAACCCCGCTGACCCCAGACTAAGTGAAACTGCATTACTTTCAATTCTCCAGTAAGACTTTATCTTGGGATAACTTTACAGGAAATTTTAAATCTTCTTCCTCTTGCAATGAGGAAGGAAACCTGAAGCATGTAAAGAATGCAATACTACTCTCCTGGGGGCTTGTCTATACTCGGGAGCTCTTCCAACACAGCTATTTGACTTTAAAAATTACGCCCCACTCTCTTCTGCTCTAGTCCACAGGTTGAGTTATCATCTTTGTCACGTTTCGCCATCACCTTCATTTGCCAGCAAACCAGCACAGTCCACAACCTCCCCAGTCAACTGCTCAGAGCTAACTCAAGACACAAGCTTGCAGAGAGACAAAATATTGCTGTCACTCACGATCACTATAGGCAAGAGCCAGTGCCACCCAATAAACAGGTCTTTCTAGTCACCTTCCTGAAGGTATCTCGGTACCTACTTCCAGTCAGTAAGCTTAACTTGTAAATATGGCAACACTTCTTTGGTGTCTTTTTTTTTTTTGCTGCAACCCAGCAGTTGTAGAAATAACACAGCAACACATTTGTACCAAAAAGCCTCCTACTTCACAGGTCTAACTGCATGCAAACTTCAGTTTAAAATTAGTTCAAGGTACATTAGACAGACATTTCCTTGAACCTTGACTTTCCACAACGAAGAACTCCTCTCCTCCTTCAAGAGATCTCCACCCTAGCCAAATGCAGCAGTTTCTCAAGTATA